TCTCCCCAGAGAGCGGCTGCTGTCAGCTTTAATGACAGCGGTCAGTAATTAAAGCTGCCCTTGCAACGTTTCCGTGACGAGCTCCAGGAAATGAGCACCGAGATTCRAGCGCAATACCCTGCTGCTGGGGGTTGTTCCACGCCAGGCTCTGATGTAAGCGCAGAGGGGCTTGCAGCAACACAGCCACATCGCAGCCCAAAGTCCAGAGACGAGCCACGCAGCTCAGCGTTGAAGAGGCTCCACGTGCCAAACGCCCCGGAGCTGCTGCCCTTCGAGCCGCAGCGTGCGGCTGGAGATGTTCTCCGGAGCATGCGGGGCTCGGGCTCCTCTCTGCAGGCTCCTCAGCTGCAGCTCAAGCATTGAGGGTGATTTTGCAACTACGGCCACCACCATCCCAGCCCCCTTGCAGGGCCTGAAGACAAAGAGCAGTGGGAATCGTGTCGGGGCAGTCAAGGAGTGACAAAGATGGGTATAAATTCCCTGAACAGAGGTTTCCAGGAAGATGAAGATGGGTATAAACTCCCTGGACAGGTTTCTAGGACGTTGGTCACTACTGACTGTTGTCACCCCTACAGACAGTGCTGTCTTTGCAGTGTTTCAGGAATCGCACAGAGCCAGGAGTCAAAAAACAGAYGTGTGACAAGGCAGCGGCCCTGGCCGGGGTTGCGGTGCTCCTGGCATGCATGGGAGCTGTCTGAGCAGCCTGTGGCCACCATCCCTGGGAAGTTCCTCTTTCGAGAGGCAGCTGAGGGGAGTGAGAGGCAGCGGCTGGTTTGTTCTGGGGGAAGGGAAGATCCTGCCAGGGGCTGTTTCTTACCTGGCATCAACATGGGGCRACAAAAGGCAGCTGCGCCCTCGGGAAAATGCAGTTAGCTGAAAGCACAAATACAGTTAAGGCAGGAAAGAGTTGAAAGCAGCATCCAAATGACGAGCTTACTAATGTAATGACTTTAAACGCATTAAGCTGCAGGAAAGTAGAAAAGAATCTGTGGYGTGGCTCTCACGCAATGCACCAAACAGCTCCACATTTACCCCAGGAAAACCAGGCACGTCCTTCTACCAGATCTCTGCAGAAAGAGCTGAAGGGAACGTTCCTGAGGAGGGGCAGGGCTGCACAGCCTGCGCGGGGGGCACCGCGCTGGGACGGGCTCATCTTGCTGCAGGTGCTTTCCCCTGCGGGCTGCGCTGGAGACCTGGGTTGGACAGCGTTTCCGCTGCGAGCAGAGAGCGTGGGCTGCAGGCAGGAGCCGCACGAAACGCGTCCCGCCGCCACCGCCGTGTGCCAGTGTCCCCAGCGCCACCCGGGCAGGTCCCTCCAGCAGCACCCRCTCTGCGGGGCCCCGTGGGGCTGGCATCACCGCGGCACCCGGCCGGGTTCTCCCCCAGCTCCTTTGGCAGTGTGGGTGACAGTAAAGCACAGGTAAAGGCTTTTATTCTTGYGACCTGCCCCGGGACATGAGTGAAATCAAGCAGGGAGAAAATCGGAAGCATTTATAATTCCCCCTTGGCACGGGGATTAGYGGGGGGAGCAATGCAACTTTAATGTGGCTACGGCTTATAAAGCTCTAATGGGCAAGCCTGAATGTAAAAACGCTGTCGTTTTGTATATTTAAACACTCTTTGGTGGAGTAAATGCTCCCAAATGCACTCAGCGTCCGCAGAGGAGCCGCGCTGAGTGCACAGCAGGGATACCTGCTCCCAACCCATCCCGTTCCCAACCCATCCCGCTCCAGCCCCTCTTCCTGACCCCTGGAGCAGCCTCACTCGGAGCGGTTGTTGTGCAGGGCCTGTCCCCAGCCACAGCTCTGAGTCAGCCAGAGCATCCGCAAGAGCCTCCCACCCCTGGCTGGGAGCCGGGAATCTCGCAGGGCCTGTACTGGAGCCGGGAATCTTGCAGGTCCTGTACCAGAGCCGAGCAGTTCCGAGCGTCGCTGCTTCCCTCTCGTGGTGAGAAAGCAGCCCCCGAGACACCTGCTGGACCCGCCAACCGGCACGGACAGACACTGCTGAGCTGGGAGAAATCCTGGATCTCTGTTGAGAAAGAGGGGAAGCCGGCGCCGGTGTCTGGAAGGAGGACCTGAGAGCAGGTCTCTCTAGGCTCTTTTTATTCTGTGTGTCCTCCTCTAAGGGAGAGGAGTCTCTGCATGGGTTGAATTCACTGCTCCTTGTGCTCTGGCAAGTGTCATTCCCCTCCCTCCCCTTGCTCTCTTCCAGACCCTCTGGAAAAAACATGCAAAAGGAGGAAGAAAGGCTCTCTGCRAGCTCCTGGCCCCAGCTGATTACCATGGATGTATGTAAGGCACAAGAAAACACGTCCCGGTGCAGCGCGGACACCGTGCCCCTGGAGTGCTTCATGGTTCTCAGCACGCAGGCCCAGAAGATAAGCATTGCCACCCTGTGCTGCCTCTTCGGGACACTCTGCGTTTTGGAGAACGCTTTGGTGTTGTATCTGATCTTCTCTTCGCCCACAATTCGGAAGAAGCCGTCCTACCTCTTTATCAGCAGCCTCGCCTTGGCCGACATCCTGGCCAGCATCATCTTYGTCTCCAGCTTCGTTCACTTCCACGTCTTCAATAAAATCGACTCCTCTAAAGAATTGTTCCTGCTGAAGCTGGGCGGCGTCAACACCTCCTTCACAGCATCCCTGAGCAGTCTGTTGCTGACAGCCCTGGACCGTTACATCTCCATCAGCCGCCCCTCCAAATACAAGGCTCTGGTGACAAGGAGGAGAGCGTGGGTGGCCCTGGGCGTGCTCTGGGTGACGTGCGTGACCATCTCCTCCCTGCCCCTGCTAGGCTGGAACTGCTGCACGCTCAACTCAGCCTGCTCCGATCTGTTCCCCTTTGTGGACAACAACTACCTGTCGAGCTGGATTGTCCTGGTCCTGGTGCTGCTGGCGTCCATAGTGAGCGCCTACGYGCACGTGCTGCGCAGGGCTCGCCGGCACGTGGCTTACATGGGCAAGCACCAAGCGCAGGCCGGGAAGCAAAACGCCAGGATGAGGATGGACGTCATGCTGGCCAAGACCCTGGTGATGGTTCTGACTGTCCTCATGGCGTGCTGGTCTCCAGTCCTGGTTCTCATGGTCTACGGCATTTTTGGGAAGCTGAGCGATCCCCTGCGGAAGGTATTTGCCTTCTGCAGCACCCTCTGCCTGCTGAATTCCATGGTGAACCCCATTATTTATGCCCTGCGAAGCAAAGAGCTCTCTTCTTCCCTGAGGATGGCTCTTTCTCAGTTCAGGAGGCAGCTGCGAGCCGCGGAGGACAGCCCRGAAGCAGAGAGCACCCACAAGTCCTCAGCAATAGAGACGGTCTGCGAAGAAACATGTGCAACATAGGGAGGCAGCTGTGGCAAGTCTGAGCTTGGGCTGGAGGAAGGAGCCTGGCTCACTTCTCTTTTGGATAGCTTTTCTTTTCTCTGAGCAGCTCGTATGAGATGATGGATTCGAGGCCTGTCATGGAGCCAGCTCCCTCTGATGTGTTTCTTAGACACCAGTGTCTAAGGGTGCACAGCCTGGGACAGCGGGTCCCCATGCTGCATTATCGTGTGCAGGCTGCAGAGGACCCAGCGCTACAAAATGGTCATTCAGTCGGGAACCTTCTACAGACCCCCATGAGGCAACGGACAGGGACCCCATTCCCCAGGGCAGCAGATCCTAGTATTTTATGACAATTCTTCCTGCCTGGCTTTCTGCCTGCCCTGTCAGTCACCTCCTAGCACGTTCTCCTTTCCATGACGTCTTCCTCACTGTCTTAAATACAGCCAAACTCCTGCAAAACAGAGAACTTGAGGCACTCCAGCAACGATGAGGCATCATTGGACCCTCTCCAAAACCTCTAAGTGGGCACGGTCAAAACTGAGCAAGTGCTATCAGCAAAGTGCTAGCAGCACATCATGAAGTGCCAGAGCTACCCCTATTTATGCAGGTGTCCTGAACGCAGTCCCAGGTATTAACGGTGTCCAGTTGTTAGGTATTACCAGCCTGGTGACACCAGCCCAGGCAAGGGCACAGCAGCTCTCAGTGAGACTCTGGGGCCTGTTAAAGCCTTGGTGTCACTGCAGCGCCTGCAGCAGCACAGGAGCTGCCTGAGACCTTGCTGGAAAAACGTTACACGCTGCAGATCATTTCAGGGCACTCGCTTGCAAAGGGTCCTGGCTACTCATGTCTCACAGAACTACATGTACAAGAACTAGTGGGTCTGCACTGTGGCTTGTGGGCTGCAAGAGCGGAGAGTTTCGGGGCGAATGGGTCCCCGCAAGCGCCACGTTTCAGCTGGGCAGTGTAAGGCAACCTAATGTGTGTGTCCATTTGGATGTCGTGTGTTTGGGTGTCGTGTAATTAAACATTGAAACCGTCCTCAGACTTTTTCGCCTTTAACCTCCAGTGCTCAAGATGCTCCTCTCTGGCCAGCAGGTTCAAAACTAACGCTGGCCAGATATTCTGACCGTAGGAAATAGATTCTTTTGCAAAATGCAGAAAAGGAGCAATTTCAGCTGCTGAGAACCACGGTTTGGTGCCAGTGGCRTCACGGAGCCCCCCGGCCGAGCGCCCGGCGCCGCTTCTATGGGTCACGGCTCGAGGTGCTCAGACTTTGCCCTCTTCCCCCTCACATGCGGCACCGGAGCGCGGCCCTGGGCCCAGGCGGGACCAGACGCTCGGGCTGCCAGTGCAGAGGCCCCAGGAGGCTCTCAGGCCCCACAACAACTGTGGCCCCACAACAACAAGACTCTCAGGCCCCACAACAACATGACGTGGGCGGCTTTGGGGGTTGGAGCAGGGTGGCCGCGGTGCTCCGGGCAGGGAGGGAGCAAGAAGCGCCGTTCAGCACGGGGCGCGAGGCGGAGAGCGGCCTCGAACCCCCGGCGCCTCGCTAGCGATGGCGGCCGCGACGCGTCGCCTTTGCCTCGCTAGCGATGGCGGCCCGCGCGCTCGCCCTTTGCCTCGCTAGCGATGGCGGCGGCCGGCATTACGTCACGCGGCGCGGGGCTGGCGCGCCATGGCGGCCCGCGCGCTGCTGTGGCTGGCGGCGGCGGCGCTGGCGGGGGCCGAGCGGCGCTACCGGGCGGACTGGGCCAGCCTGGACGCGCGGCCGCTGCCGGCCTGGTTCGACCGCGCCAAGGTGGGCGTGTTCGTGCACTGGGGGGTCTTCGCCGTGCCCGCCTGGGGCTCCGAGTGGTTCTGGTGGCACTGGCGGGGCGAGCAGCGCGCCGACTACGAGCGCTTCGTGCGCAGCCGCTTCCCGCCCGCCACCACCTACGCGGACTTCGCGCCCCGCTTCAGCGCCCACGACTTCCAGCCCCGCGAGTGGGCGCGGCTGTTCCAGCGGGCGGGAGCCAGGTGTGCCAGCGGGAAGGAGAGGGCCCCGAGGGGATGGCGGCCGCCTGAGGGGATGGCGCGACCCCGAGGGGAYGAGGGAGCCCCTGCGGTACGGGCAGTGCCCGAGGGCCCGGTCCCTGAGGAGACGGAGCTGTCCCCGAGGGCTTGGTGGCTCCTGGGGAGACGTGGGTGCCCCCCCGGGGTCCCTGGTGGGTGGTGGCACGGTGTCGGGGTCCTGAGAAGATGGCAGGTCTCACACCCCATTAGTCTCAGTTGTTCATTCCTCATCAGCATTACAGACCGTTTAAGAGCTGTAGTATTTCGGAATCTTCTTCTAAACTTAAAGGGTAACGAAAGGAGTCACCAAGGAGGGTTCCGCACAGTCATTCAGTCCCGCGTCCTGTCACCGGCTCTGCCAGGGAGCACGAGGAAAATCGGAGCGAATTCCTTTGCCCTCTGTCTCCCCATCTCCCCAGGTACGTGGTGCTGACAGCGAAGCACCATGAGGGATTCACAAACTGGGGCTCGCCGGTGTCCTGGAGCTGGAACGCCGTGGACACGGGGCCCCACCGAGATCTTGTAGGCGAGCTGGGACAGGCGCTCAGGGAGAGGTACGGCCCTGCCACCCTTGGCGCTTCCTTTCCTCTTTTTGCCTTGAATTCTTAAGGCTGTTCTTGACAAACAGCTGCAAATGCTGCGTTTTGGATGCTTTGCTTGCAAATCTATGAAATAATGGGGCTAATAATTCTTAATCCCGCCCCGCTGACAGTTTTTCTCTCCATTTTTTTTCTAGCAACATAAGCTATGGACTGTATCATTCTCTGTTAGAGTGGTTTAATCCGCTCTATCTGGCTGACAAAGAAAGTGGCTTCAAGACCCAGAGCTTTGTTTTGCAAAAGACAATGCCAGAACTTTATGATCTTGTCTTAAGGTAAGAGCTGCAACCGGTTAGGATTTAAGATTTTTTCTAGGTTTCCATACTGCAGAGAAAGGTCCAAACTGCCTGCAGAGAAGAGGGATGACAAATGTAAACTTCTGCAGCGCGGCTGTTTTCTTATTGGTACTGATTTGAAATAATTTGAAAACTGGGTCACTTTTTTGCCTCATGAACAATGTAGCTTATGCAATAATGTAGGGAAAAGGCTTAGATGCAAGAGCACCACCTTTTAATGAAGTGTTTGTGTACAGTAGCTTTGAAAGTGGAACAAGTTGCTTCATATTGAGTAGAAAAGCAATTTCACTGCAATTTACCTCCTTGCTTTGCTTTCCTGAATTGGCAAAACCACCAGCTGTGCACATGTGTTGCTCAGAGGTCGTTGTTCCAGGTAAAGATTGTGCCTTCTGTTTGCCAGRTGCAAACTTCTGCTTTAGGGAAAATTGCATCCTGTATTCAATGTGATCAACACACTGTTATGATATGATAGCATAAAACTCCTCCTAATGTCAGGCAGTGGGAAGAGGAAGTGAAAATAGATTCCAGAAGTAAGAAAGGCAGTGCTGTGGCAGGCTTCCTTTGGGGCAAGAGAACATGATAAGCCATTTTGAAATAACATTCATCTCTCTGTTAGATATAAACCAGATTTGATTTGGTCGGATGGAGACTGGGAAGCTCCGGAGTCGTACTGGAATTCCACCTCGTTCCTTGCCTGGCTTTATAATGATAGTCCTGTCAAGGTATTGCTCTCCTTCATGGCTTCTGGCAGTGAGATGGGACTGTGGTCAGGTCAGAAATCTGCTTGACAGATGCTAACCACATGCTTTATTCTTTCATCCAAAATCAGAAGCCTGTGCACTCCTGTGAGAAGGCTCTGGTATCTAAACCAGAACTTGCAACAGAAGGCACAGGCTTTAGATATTACTCTTTGATGCCTCACTTAATTTAGGAGGGATGGAAGCTAAAAAGCTCAAGACAAAATGCGCTCCTGAGCTGTGGTTCTCCTTGCAGGACACTGTTGTTGTGAATGATCGCTGGTGTAATAACTGCTCCTGCCATCACGGAGGCTACTACAACTGTGCTGACAAGTACAAACCGGGTGCCCTGCTGACGCACAAGTGGGAGATGTGCTCCTCCATTGACAAGCTCTCCTGGGGGTATCGAAGCAACATGCACATCAGTGAGTTAATGGATGAAGCAAGTATCATCGAGGTAAGAAATCGTAAGTCAAAATAACAGGTGTGGGGCAATTGCTGCGAATTGGAGGTTTCTTCTTGAAAAAAGAGTTGTTGGGTTTTTTTTGCAGCACTGGTGGAGATAAAGGAGTGTTTGCTGGGGACAAAGCATTCCTCAGCTGCCCGTGTCTTTGTTGTCAGAAGTGAAGATAAAACAATGTGTTACTTTGGTTTATCTGTCATAGGAGCTAGTGCAGACTGTGAGTTTTGGTGGCAACTACCTTCTCAATGTGGGCCCTACAAAAGAAGGGGTGATCGTTCCCATCTTCCAAGAAAGACTGCTGGCACTTGGGAGGTGGCTGGACACTAACGGGGAGGCGATTTATGAATCAAAGCCATGGAGGGTACAGATGGAGAACAGCACAGACAGTGTCTGGTAAGGACTCCATTGCTCAACGCCATCCTGAATCACAAACCCAACATGGGCTGAGGCTTCCAGAGCTGACATTTCTTTCCTGTTATTAGTTTTAATACTCTCTGGAGTGTCGCCATCAGGTGTGGAGGGCTTTTAGGAAATATCCTACAACCGTAGGGCTCACTCCCTGCCCTCAAGTGTTACAAAAGGAATTTCTTGCCGTGCACATGCAGTTGGAAAGAAGAGAATCAAAATCAGGGATTCAGCCATCTTGTTTAATTAAAATAGAACAAACCTCCCTTGAAAAAAAAATCCATGCAGTTGCTGTTAAGACTGTTTAAGTAACAGTTGTGGCTAGTTTGAGTTAAAAAATATACTCTCTCTAAACTCCTACAGTCTGTGCATGCAGTGGTATTCACTTTCGAGCTGTTATATAATAGTACTGCTGTTACCCAGCTATCACATTTACTTGCTGAAAAGGGCATAGTAAGTGAGGCAAGAGACAGAACCATTACCCAAAAGCTGTTTTTTTTTTTTCCAAGTGTGTCCAAATGTGTCCAGGCTAGAAATGCAGAGCTGTGAAAAGATCAGCAAAAGGCGGTGTGTCCGCTCCGACCACAGCCTGAGGCAAGGACAGAGGAGCCAGTGACGTGAGCGTTTAGGAAGCCTGTGTGGACTTTGAGTGGGTTTCATCAGCCAGTGCTGACAGCATAGACGGTGGGTCCAAAGTGACGCCTTTYGGAATGACCAGAAAATAGGTGACCCCTGTGTGAGAGCAGCAGGCAAGCCCGTGTTCTTGTGCTGTCTGAAGGGGCCAAGCTCACGTCTGGCTCTCTCGTATGGAGCTCTTGGTGTTGCTGAACTGTTGCTCCCTTAGGTACACGTCTAAAGGACCGGCTGTCTATGCCATCTTTCTGACCTGGCCCCGGGACAGTCTGCTGAAGCTCCTTTCACCTGTTGCATCCCCGAGCTTGCAAGTAAGGAGCTTGAGAAGTAGCTAATGCACTTTGGGATCCCAACTCGGGTACAGGTGCGCTAGGCAGGCCCAGCCTGCCTTCATTTGGTGACTGGTGGCAGTGCCAAAGTTTCATTTCTTGCTTCTGGTCCTGGACTTCTGTTCTGTAGAACAGACTTGGCAGCACAGGCCCCTGGTTTGCCACAGAACAGGTGGGGACTCCTCTTCCCCRCAGGCTTCTGCTCCTATTAGGACACAGCGAGAAGGAAATGTAAAAGGTCTCGCATAGCAGAAGGGATCTCTGGCTTAATGTCTCCGATTCAGATCAGGTGCATTGATCTGCTAGTTGTAAATGTTGTACATGACGCAAATGCTGGAATGCCCTTTGCTCTAAACAAACACACGTAGAAACTTCACAGTTAAAATGAACTACGGCCAAATGTCCCCAAAGTATCCATTGGGTTGCCTTTTGTGCACTGTGACTTATGGTAGAAATGCCCCAAATGGCTCTGAATGTTCAGGAATACTGGAGAGACACTGCAAATGTGCCCGGTGGAGGAGGATGTCCAAGGGGAAGGCACCCGTGCCAGCTCCAGCTGTGTGTCCCCTCCCTCTTTCTGCAGGTGACCATGCTGGGCCTCGCCGGGGCTCTGGAGTGGCAGAAGGGSCCAGATAAAGGGGTGCTGATAACGCTGCCCTGCGCGCCTCCGTCTGCCCTGTCTGCTCAGCCTGGCTGGACTGTCAAGCTTGAGGGTGTGGAATGAGAGCTGTGGGGGAGAGCAGCAATCTGCCTCTGCTGCTCCATTGTCTTTAGGCTAAGATTTTCTGTTTTTCCAATTATTGTCAAATAAAATAATTTTGTCTCAGTGGAACTGCCCTTCTAACGCACTTTGTGTGTAAATGACCCCGTTGTGTGTGGATGTCATAGAATCATAGAATCCTAGACTGCTTAAAGTTGGAAGGGACCTCAGAGGTCATCTAGTCCAACCCCTCTCCTCACGCAGGGTCACCCAGAGCATAGGGCACAGGGCTGCGTCCAAGCGGGTTTTAAAGATCTCCAAAGAAGGAGACTCCACAACCTCTCTGGGCAGCCCRTTCCAGGGCTCTGGCACCCTCACTGTCAACAAGTGTTTCCTTAAGTTCCTGTGGAACTTTTGGTGCCTCAGCTTGTGGCTGTTTCCTCTAGTCCTGTCGCTGGCCACCACTGAAAAGAGGCCGCCCCCTCCTCCTCACTGCCTCCCTTGAGATATCTATAGACACTGCTCAGGTCCCCCCTCAGCCTCCTCTTCTCCAGGCTGAACAGACCCAGCTCCCTCAGCCTTTGTTCATATGGTAGATGTCCCAGGCCCCTGATCATCCTCGTAGTCCTGCGCTGGACTCTCTCCAGCAGCTCCACATCCCTCTTGTCCTGGGGAGCCCAGAACTGGACGCAGTCTCCAGATGTGGCCTCACCAGGGCTGAGTAGAGGGGGATGATCACTTCCCTCGACCTGCTGGAGACGCTCTTCTTAACGCACCCCAGGATTCCATTGGTCTTCTTGGCCACCCGGGCACACTGCTGCCTCATGGTCATCGTGTCATCCACCACGACGCCYAGGTCCCTCTCTGTGGGGCTGCTCTCCAGCCGGTCCACCCCTAATCTGTACTGGTGTCTGGGGTTATTCCTCCCCAGGTGCAGGACCCTGCACTTGCCCTTGTTGAACCTCATGAGATTTCTCACCGCCCAGTCTGTCCAGGTCCCTCTGGAAAATGTCGTTTGGGAGGAAAGGCCCAGAGTCTGTGAGGCTGTTGGTGACCAAACACCTCAACTTGCAATGAGGGCGTTTTAAAGCGGAGCTTCCCGGCAGACGTTTCTGCCCCCGGCCGTGATTGAAGGTGCTGAAACGGGCAGGAATCCGAGCCGAAATGTCGGRTTGCTCCATGCACTGCCTGGGTGCATTGGCAGTGCCCACGTTTGGCAGCCCGCTCCTCGTACGCCCCATTGGGACCCGTGATGGGGGCTYTGAAGACAGTCAGTTCCACAGCAGCCTGGGGCGTCCTGTCAGATAAATAAGCAGCTGCTGTAGGAACCACATCGTATTACTTCAATATTGATTAAAACAACTATGCTCCTGTACATCCATCATAGCAGTTATCAMGGATGGTTATTGTTGAGGTGGAGTGGAAGAAATTACAGAAAGCTGAAATTAACATCATTACAAGTTTGCTAGCAGACCGTTAGTTGTATTTGGGTGGTGGCAGCTAGAGGCAAAGGCCGGGTTTGTGTTTTCCCGTGAACGGGGGAGAGGTGCCGCTGCGCCGAGCTGAGCCCAGACCCCGTTCTGCTTCATTGAAATAGGTCCCTGTGCTGATAGAGAAGTGCACTAAGCAGCACAGAGCAATAAACAGCACWGARCAATAAACAGCACTGAACAATAAACAGCACTGARCAAAACGTGCTTCAGCTTCGGCRGTTCCTCCCGGGGCTTTGTCCGGGTGCCAGCCGCCCGGCTGCATTGCTGGAGTCCCGCTGGTGTCGCAGGCACCCTGATGCACCCTAACCCTAGCCCTAAGCTTAACCCTAACCTTAACCCTAACCCTAACCTTAATCCTAACCGTAACGCTCCCTGACGCGCCGCGGAGCCTCTTGCCCCATCGCCAAACAACGGGCCGTGCCGCGAGGCGCCGGCCCCGCCGAGCCCCGCGGCGGTGACGCTGCGGGCGCCGCGGCCAAGGCAAACAGCGCGTGTTTGCGCAGCGCGCCCCGCGCCGCTATAAGCGCGCCCGGCCGCGGCGGCTGCCGGCAGCGAGCGGGACGATGCCGCGCTGCGCCATGGGCTCCCTGCCCCGCGACGCCGCCCGCGCACAGGTACCGCACCGGCACCGGCACCCGCACCGGCACCGGCACCGGCACCCGCACCGGCACCGGCACCGACACCCGCACCGGCACCGGCACCGGCACCGACACCCGCACCCGCACCCGCACCGGGGACCCGGGGCGCGCGGACCGCCTGTCACGTGATTGCCGCGGCCGCGCCCCCCGAGCACGTGGCCGGGCGCCGTCACGTGAGGAGGGCGGGCTGTCATGGCGGCGGTGCGGAGGTCGCTGTCGCTGCCGCGCTGGGCGCTGTCGCTGCGGCCGGTGAGCGGCGGGCCCGGTGTCCCGGTGTCCGGGCCCGGTGTCGGTGTCCGGCCTGGGCCCCGGCCCGGTCCCGGTTTCCTAGTCTCGGTGTCCGGGCCCGGTCCCAGTGTCCCGGTCCCGGTGTCCCGGTGTCCGGGCCCGCTCCGAGCTCTCCCTCTCCCCGCAGGTGAGCGCCGCGGCCGGCGCCTTCCCCAAGCGCGTCAAGGTGGTGGARGTCGGGCCGCGCGACGGGCTGCAGAACGAGAAGGTAGGAGAGGCCCCGGCGCCCMGGCCCGGCGCTTGGACGAGGCCGAGCCTTGTGCTGCCGTGGAAGGGGTGAAATCACGGCGGCTTCAGCTCATTTTTCTTCCTCCTTTCTCCTCTAGACCGTCGTGCCGACCCCCGTGAAGATCAGTCTGATCAACATGCTCTCGGAAACCGGGCTGCAGGTCATAGAGGCCACCAGCTTTGTCTCGCCCAAGTGGGTCCCGCAGGTCAGTGGTTGGGGTTTGCTGCATTTTGCACGTTCATATGGAATRATGTGATAAAAGGATTCTGTTTGCTCCAGAATCCTTATTGCCAATTCCTACAACTGGGCAAGAGGCAACAAAGTGTAACAGAGGAGCTTGCAGTAACCTAGACCTTCCCTTTGGACCCTGACTCTGAGCAACCTCAAATACAAACAACTGAATGTACACGTGTGTCTGAGCTTGGCAGAGGGAACTGAACTGTGACCCTTTAAAGTGTGCAACGCTCTTTGCTCTTAGAAGAGCCATTTCTCAAATTCCTGACTTGCTGTTGCATGTAAAAATAAATCTGAAAACTTATTTTTTATTTTGTAGAAGTAGATGAGTATCTTAATTTCACCCTTAAAACTCTGTCCTTGTTTAACGTGCAGATGGCTGACCACACTGAAGTTATGCGAGGGATTAATAAGCTACCTGGTATCAGTTATCCTGTCCTGACTCCCAACCTGAAAGGATTTCAAGCAGCGGTAAGAAATCGTAGTGTTTGAATGTTCACAGTGGCCTGTGTGTGCGTTTGCCCACGAAGGAACATTCGTAGTATGTTCTTTCATTCTGATAAGTGGCAGCTGCTTSTGGTGGCTCCTTTAAGGGAAGGTTCTGTTATTGTTCATGATAGAAAATACCTTGTTGCATTTCCTTAAAAGAGGCTCATATTWATTGGCAACAATATTTCAGTTTCTCCATGTCCATCTCCACATACCCCAGCTCACCTGCAGATGTAGCTTTTCTGCTGCATCTGTAGCTTAGCTCCTCTCTTGAGGACACAATGRGTGTCTCATGTTTTTGCTGTAGAGTGAACTGAGGAGAGAAACGGATGGCTGGGGAAAAATCTTCTCTTGTAAAAATAAGAGAACTATAGTCAAAGTTGTGCTTTTTTATTTCCCTTGGTGAAATTCATACGTTTTGCCTCATGCTTTCTATTGACAGGTGGCAGCAGGGGCCAAAGAAGTGTCAATCTTTGGAGCAGCATCGGAGCTCTTCACTAAGAAGAACATCAACTGCTCCATAGAGGAGAGTTTGGAGAGATTTGATGAGGTTATGACAGCAGCGAGAGCAGCCAGCATTCCAGTGCGGGGGTAAGCAGGGTGCAGAGCRTACAAGAGCCTGTGTGCGTCACAGGCTCTGCCTTATTTAGCCTTTATAATCTCACTTCACTTCTTTAATGGAAGGGTTTTGTTTTATTGCTTTCAACTATAGCTACGTTTCCTGTGTTCTTGGCTGCCCCTATGAAGGGAAGATTTCTCCAGCTAAAGTTGCCGAGGTGAGTTCGTCAGGAACACAGCTCTAATTTTGGAGAGGTTCTGGGTTCCCTTGCCTGTTTGTGAGCCAGATCCTGGTTCATGGAGATGGTTCGTGGATCTCCATGGCTGATGGRTATCCTGGGTCACCTCCCCGCAAAAGGGGGAGCCTGCAGCTAACGGCCGCCTCGGAGAGGGATGGCTGGACCTAGCTGAAGTGGTTGGGGGGGTTCAGGGAGGTCTGTGGTCTGCAGATCTCTGCACCTAGCAAAGAAACTCCCGGTGATTCRCCAGGCTCCTCTGTGTGCTTTGGTTACCCTGTGTGGGAGGTTTTCAGCCCTGGMAAACTGATGGCAAAGCAGTTTTCTCAGTAATCACTGAATGGTTGAGGTTGGAAGGGACCTCTAGAGATCAGCTAGTCCAACCCACCTGCTCCAGCAGGGACACCAGAGCACAGGGTGGCRTCCAGRCAGGTTTTGAAGGTCTCCAAATCACCCTTTACCCTCACCCCACTCCCATTCAGTAGATATTCATGGCAAGATAAGCAAAAATCTTGCCTTTTGGACAGGTCTCCAAGAAGATGTACGCAATGGGGTGTTACGAGATCTCCCTTGGTGACACCATTGGCATTGGGACCCCAGGCAGCATGAGGGAGATGCTGACAGCAGTCATGAAAGAGGTGCCCGTTGGGGCTCTTGCTGTTCACTGCCACGACACTTACGGACAAGCTCTTGCCAACATCTTGGTAGCACTTCAGGTAAGGTGGTTTCCTTGAGTTTCTTCTGAACTAGGGGCTTTAGAAGATAGATTATGGTCCTGTTCCTAATTAAGAGGACTTTACAAATGCTGATTTTTTTTTTTTTTTGTTCACAGATGGGTGTGAGTGTGGTTGATGCTTCCGTTGCTGGCCTTGGCGGCTGCCCTTATGCCCAAGGAGCGTCAGGAAACGTTGCTACGGAGGACTTGGTGTACATGCTGAACGGCCTGGGGATCCACACGGTAGGAGCCAGCAGCCTTCGTGGCCCTGTTTGCCTGCCTGAGGGCCTTGTGCTGCCGTGGCAGTTGCTGCTGTGCTGGTGGGAGCCTTTCCTAATGTCCCTTTCTCAGAGCAAGCAGCTGGCACTAAGGGCCTTGTWAAAACACCCTTCCGATTCCCTTTCCCCCTGCGATGAGCTGTTACTAGGTGGTTTTTCAGGGCAGAACTGGTACCAAGGCGTGTTGTTTCGTTGTCCCTGCAGGGTGTGGATCTGCAGAAGCTGATGGATACAGGTACATTTATTTGCAATGCTCTGAACAGAAGAACTAATTCCAAAGTGTCCCAGGCCAACTGCAGGCTGTGATACTTCACCAAGTTCCACTTGAAGCAAGGCGGAGGAGAAGGCAAGGATCKGAAGTTGGCCTCGTTTCCCTTCCTCCCTGCTCTCTCCATTCTTCAGTGCTCTGAGAAGAAGCACTTAACTSGCTAGGATCTATGAAGAAATGAAAACAAACAGGAATACCGTATCCAGCCTTGAACACGTTAAACAGAATGAAGTGCTGCTGCACGAAGCTCAAAACAGCGTCTGGTAAATTCTACCTCACGAGGATGTTGCCATAAGTGACCAGCAGAGGCTGAACCCCAGCTCTTCTGCTTAGAGCCCTTCTCCAGGTCAGCCTGGACCCTCCTGCCTTTCTTTTCCTTTTTTTGGGGGAACAAAAGCTACACCTGGCACGACTGAAGTGGAAAGCTGCTCCTGTGGCCTTTGCAGCGCGTATCAAGGAGCAGCCGGGGATGGTTCCATCTCCGCCCTTAAGGATTGTAATAAAGGACTGTATCTGTTGTAAGATACTTTTAAAGAGTTAGAGTAACAACCCCAGTATTTAATATTCTAATATACTAAAGAAATGTTTGGAGGAAGCCAGGAGCAGAGCTCGGCGCTCTCAGTCCCTGGGCCTGTTGCTGCAGCCCTCGCTGATGGAGGTGGTCTGGCCGCCTCGCAGCGGGTTTGTGCTGTAGGAACGTGTGCAGGGGCGGAATCAAGCTCTGTGCTGTCCTTCGTATTTAAAATAAATTATTTAATAGCTTATTTTTGAAAAAAAATGAGTGCACGTTATTGTCTTTGGGCTGGGGCAGGGGGTTGTTTTTCTACCCCCTTCCTGCGTGGTGCTTTGACTCACCTGCCTCTTCCTCCTCCGTGTCTCTCCCGCTTAAAAACCGCCTTCAAACGCTTAAAAACCGCCTTCAAACGCTTAAAAACCGCCTTCAAACGCTTAAAAACCGCCTTAAACGCGTCAGTAACCGCCGCTCCCTCCAGCGCTTCCGCCCTCGCGCCGGGCGGCCGCCAGGGGGCAGACTCCGCCCCCATTGGTGGCGCCTAGTCCCGCCCCCTCCGGCGAGCACCAATAGCCGCAGCCCCCTTCCCGCGCTCCCCCGCCCCTCCCCATGTTCTCCCCCGCGCATGCGCGCTCGCTGCGCCCCGGCGGTGACGCGTTTCCATGGGGCCGCGCGGCGGGCGGGGCGGGGAGCGCCGGCCTTAAAGGGGCCGCGGGGACAGAGCGAGGCCGGAGCGGCGGCCGGAGCGGCGGGTGAGCGAGCGGGGGAGGCGGGAAGAGCGGAGCGGGGAGGCGGTCCGGTCCGGTCCGGTCCGGTCCGGTCCAGTCCAGCCGGGCCCCGAGGTAGCGCTGGTTTCACGTTTCCCCCCGCCGCGGGCACTGCCCCCCTGAGGGACCCGCAGCCCCCCGGCAGCGCCCCGGCCCCGGCAGCGGCTCCCGGCCCCGGCGGCTCCCCGGGCCGCCCCACGCCACGTCCGCACCGCGTGTCCCGCGGCCGCCCCACGCCACGTCCCGCCCGGCCCGCGCGGCGGCGCCGGCACCAGCTGCGGGCCCTTTATCTGGGCTCGTTTTCTTTGGATCCGTCTTATCTGGGGTCATTTTCTTTGGGTTCGTTTTGTTCATTTTCCCGGCCTTTTTTTCGTTCATTTTCCCCGCTCGGGGCCGTGTCTGCCCCGGCGGCTGGAGCAGCACGGGGCGGCCCGGCACGGATCCAGCCGCCTGTTCAGACCGTTTTTCCATCATTCCAGCTGGGTGGTCTTTTGGAGAGTGAATTTCCCTGGAGTTTCCCCTGTATGTTCCCTGATGATGCAGTCAGCTCTCCCCTCTTCCCGCTGGGTGGGAGCAGCAGGAACCGCCGGCCAAAGGTGCTGGGAGACTGGTGCCRAGAGCTCCCTGCGTGCAGGGACAAGGGCCCCTTTGTGGGATATTTTCCACGTCTCTSCTGGGGTTTGCCAGCAGATACCGGCGAGCGGCAGCGACCCCGCGCCGCGCTGCTCCCTACTGCTCCCAACTGCCTTGGGAGCCGGAGCAGAGGGAGGAAAGATGGGGGAAAACAGGGAGCAGAGGCCAGAGCGGGTGCTCCTTGCAGTGCCCCCRGGTTAATGCCGTGGGGCGATGCCGGCGCTCATCAGCCCCCGGGATTCGTGCCGAAGGCAATGGGAGGCGCCAGGATCTCGGGTGGCTTCGGGCTGTGACAAATGCGGGAAAGTCRATAAACGCTCCCGGATGCGGATGTGGGATCGGCCGGTGCGGGACCGGCCCGGCGGGTTGCTCCGGGGCGGCGCTGCCGGGCGCCGCTCTCCGTGCTCCCCCGTGACGAGCCGCCCTCCGCAGGGCGCCATGGCGGAGAAGGTCCTGGTGACCGGCGGCGCCGGCTACATCGGCAGCCACTGCGTGCTGGAGCTGCTGGAGGCCGGCTACGTGCCCGTGGTGGTGGACAACTTCCACAACGCCATCCGAGGTAGGGCTGCCCCGTGCCAAGGGCTCGGCCTCCGCCCGCTCCTCCTGGGAAGCGCCCGTCCCGGCGCCGACCCCGTCRCTGCCTTTGCAGGGGCCGAGGGGCTCCCCGAGAGCCTGCGGCGCGTGCAGCAGATCGYGCAGCGGCCCGTCCTGTTCCAGGAGCTGGACATCACGGACGAGGCGGCGCTGCGGGAGCTCTTCAGCAAGGTGAGCGCAGAGCGGCCCCGTCCCCGGGGCTCTGCGAGGGGCCGCAGGGCAGCGCTGAGGAGCTGCAGGGACCGAGTGTCCTCTGAGCGCAAAGGAGACAGCGAGAGGCAGCCAACGGGCACGGGGGGAGAGACCTCCCTGGCTCTGCCCTCAGTCTCTGCCTTTCTCTCGGGAAATGTTCTTCCGGACGGGCAGGCCCTGCCTTTTATCACAAATAGATTAACTTGAATAGAGGAGGCCCCTTGGCACCCCGAGCTAGCCCTGGGGAGAGCGCGGGCGCAGCGCGGGCGGCGCTGACGTGGCTCTCCCTCCCTCCCAGCACTGCTTCTCGGCCGTCCTGCACCTCGCGGGGCTGAAGGCCGTGGGGGAGTCCGTGCAGAAGCCCCTGTGCTACTACAGGGTGAACCTCACCGGCACCATCCGGCTGCTGGAGGTGAGCGGAGCCGCGCGGAGCGGGCGCTGCGGGGATGCTTGAACAAATGGGAATTGAGAGGGCGAAGGAGCAGAGTGGGGACGGTGCCATCGTGCCACAGCCATCTGCGTTGAAAGGCCTTGGAGCCGCTGCCTGTGTGGAGGGGAGGCGAGCGCTGCACAGAACCTCTCTCGCGGCTCTGGAATGTCCCCCATGCTGGGGACAGGGATGGCTGGACCCTGTGGGAGCCRCGGCCGGACCCGCGAGGGGCTCGGGAGGGCCGGGCTGGGCCGGGGTCCGCGGGGCCGCCCGCTCACGGTGGGTGCTGCCCGTTCCCCAGGCCATGGCCGCGCACGGCGTGAGGAACATGGTGTTCAGCAGCTCCGCCACCGTCTACGGAGACCCCAAGTACCTGCCCCTGGACGAGAACCACCCCGTCGGGGGCTGCACCAACCCCTACGGCAAATCCAAGTACTTCATCGAGGAGATGATCCGGGATCTCTGCAGGGCGGAGAAGGTGCGGAGCCCGCTGAGGTGTGCAGGGCTGCGGCATTTGCCCCGGCAGAGCACCGGGGTTGGGGTTGTGCTGCCAGCCCTGGGCTGTCACCCGGCACGCTGTGCCCTCCCCAGRCAGCGCTGTGTATTGTGTGTATGTGTGTGCATCTCCCCAGGACTGGAACGCTGTTATCCTGCGCTATTTCAACCCAATCGGGGCCCATGAGTCGGGCATGATCGGAGAAGATCCCCAGGGGATCCCCAACAACCTCATGCCGTACGTGGCTCAGGTACCGGCCCGCGGCYGCGCCGAGCGCCCCGCGCTGGCCTTGGCAGCGGGGCCGCTCTCCCATGGCCTCRTCTCGCGCAGGTGGCGGTGGGACGCCGGGACGTCCTGAGCGTGTTTGGCGATGACTACAAGACGGAGGATGGAACGGGTGCGTGGCGGCTGCGCGGGGCCGGGAGGAGCGGCGCCCGTCCCCACCGGGCCTGAGGGCTGTGCACTCACCCTCTGTGTCCCCGCAGGGGTCAGGGATTACATCCACGTTGTGGATTTGGCCAGGGGCCACCTCGCGGCTTTGAGGAAGCTCAGGGAGAACTGCGGCTGCAAGGTAGCGGGCGCGCCGTGGGGCGGGCACCCTGGTTCCCCCGTGGTTTCAGGGACGCGGGCGTCACGGCCCGGCGCTGCCACCAGCCCCTGCGTCCCCAGGCAGGCCTTGCCCTGCTGCTCGTGCAGGAGCTGACGCCTGTCCCTTCTCCTCCTTGCAGATCTACAATCTGGGTACGGGCACCGGCTACTCCGTCCTCCAGATGGTCCGGGCCATGGAAAAGGCCTCGGGGAGGGAGGTGAGGCCGGAGCCGCAGCGGTAGCCAGCACCCCCGCCGCCCTCGAGCGTGCCCGGGCTCCCCGCTCCGTGCTGCAGCCACCAAGCCCTGTGCTGGGGACCCCCGTGCCCCATGCGCTGCTCTCCCCACAGATCAAGTACAAGATCACGAGGCGGCGGGAGGGCGACGTGGCCTCCTGCTATGCCAACCCGGCGCTGGCCGCGCGTGAGCTGGGCTGGAAAGCCGCCTTTGGCTTGGACAAGATGTGTAAGAGCAGCCCCATGTCCCCAGGCGGCCCGGACTGCCCCCGGCCCGGCCCTCACCCGCTTCTCTCCCCCGTGCAGGCGAGGACCTGTGGCGCTGGCAGCTGCAGAATCCCACGGGCTTCAGCAAGAACTGAGACGGGTGCCCTGCCCGGCTGCCCCGGAGCTTGGCACAGACCTGCATCCATTTCTCCCCCTCCCTCCCTCAGCCACCCTCTGCAGTGGGCAGGAGGCCCCTCGGCCTCCTCTTCCTTCTCCCTCCCTGCCCAGGTCCTCTTCATCTCATGGAGCTGCACCACAAGGGAAGGCAGAGCCGGGACCTGGCCAGGACACACCATCCCTTTATGGGGATGTCTGTGGGCCCAGCCCCTTCCCCGCTAGGTCTGGGAGCAGGGGGAGGCTCCTGGGCTCTCAGGAAGGTGGTTGGGGCCCCCACTCTCCCCCCAGGGCAGAGGTGGCCGCTGCTCCTGCACCTACCTCRTGGCCTCAGGCTGCCACATCTTCCTCTCACCCTGCTGGGACCACAGTCACAGCCTGAGGCCGGTGGCCCCCAGCGGYGGCAGTGGCTTCAGCGGGGGCTGCTGTCCTTCCACTGCCCCAGGCCAGGCCTAGGGTCCATCCCCTGTCCCCCCCCCACAGCTCCCCCGCTCCCAGGCACCACTCTCAAGGAAACCCTGATGTGCTGGGGTGAGCGACCACGTCCACCGGCCCCGGGGCTCCTCGGGGACCGTGTCAACGTGCCCGGCGGCAGGAATTCCAGGCTGTCTCACGCCTGGCTTTGCTTCCCCTCCCGGAATGGTGGTGCCAAAGGCTGCCCCAGGAGCCGGCTCCCCTTGGCTGTCAAATACTGCTCCTATTTATTACCGGCAGCTCCAGCGGCTGCGTGAGGCAGCAATGACGCAGCCAGGCTGGCTTGCTGTCACTGCCATTTATAACTTATACTACTAAATTATGAATGGAGCTTTTGATTTGTTTTTAAATAAACTTTCTTACTTCTTACTTTCTAAGGAGCAGCTCTGTCATGCTCAGCCCCCTCCATGAGCAGCCGCAGAGGCCCTGGGGCGTCGCGCTGATTCCCCCCTTGCCCCCCCAGCCACGAACGCCACCAGCTCGAGGAGGTTCAGGATTTATTTGACCTTGTATCGGACTCTGTGGAACACACACAAAAAACCCCAAACATGTACGAGGAAGACGAGAGAGAGAGAGGAGGGGGGAAAAACCCAGCTGTACTGAGGAATGGAGAGAAGCCGGTCTCCCTGCGGCTGCGGGCGGCAGCTGCGCGCGGGGAGCGAGTGGGAGGCTCTGCGGCCTCGGGGCRGCCCCGCGCTCCGCACCAGCTTCCAGTTCACAGTCGAGTAGGTCGCAAGGGCCGCCGGCCCCGCGGGACCCCGGCCCAGCCAGCCCCCGCCTCCCCTGGCGCCCGCCGCAAGCCCGAGGGGAGGACACAGCAGCTTTGAACAGACACGCAGTAGAAGAGAGAGCGGGACCGAAGCCCAGGCACRGGGAAGAGCCCGGCTTCCCCCGCAGCCAGCAGCAAGTTGGCTGGTTTAAGACTTCCTAAAGAAAGAAAACTCAAAACAACCCCAGAAACTCCCCAGGAGCAGCTTGGCCGGAGCCGAGGCTCTGGGGAGCGGGTTATTGCTTTGCACGTCCCCGGCGGCGCGGGCGCAGCTCGAGCCCCATGCGCTGCGTCGCCCTCGGGGCCGCGCCAGCCCCGGGGCTGCGCCGGTGGCCGCGGTGCGGGAGGGGACGTGGGGCAGCAGCCCCGAGCGGGCGGCTCCCGCGCCGCAGGGCCCGCCCGGCGCTGTGGGCTCAGCCCAGGGAGCGGGGAGCGAGAGYGGAGCGGGGCGGCCAGCCGGGCAGCGCTGCCCAGCAGCAGCAGCCCTGGGCGCTGCGGAAGGCAGTCGGGACCCCAGGGCCCCGCAGCCACTGGCACCAGCCCTGGCCTGGGCAGCTCAGGGGACGGGGCCGCTGGGCTGCAGCCTCCAGCCAGCTGGTTGGGGCAGGCGCAGCGAGCGTTTGGACCCATGCGTTGTACCCGGGGAGGCGACGGCGGGCCGCAGCCCCGGCCCTGCGCGAGGGGAGCTCGGCGGGACGGGGCCCTGCGCCGCCCTGGCACGCGATGCTGGTGAGATGGTGCTTCCTGCTTCCGCGGCGCAGCCCTGCGCGGCCCGGGCGCCAAGGGAAGGAGGAGCAGCAGCAGGAGAGGCCCGGAGCAGCGGGGCCGGCTGCAACGCGCAGAGCTCGGCCGGGGGTAGCCGTGGGCCCCCATGCAGAGCGGGGGCAGATTGTAACAGCAGCAAGAGGAGGAGGAGGAGGAGGAAGATTATCTGGAGGACAGAGGTGATGGCTGGAGCGGRGGGAGCCCGCGGCAGTGCCCGCAGGAGGAGTGTGCGTGTGCGACAGGGCAGGGCTGCAGCCAGGGCCCGGCGTGCGGAGACCGGGGAGACRCAGCAGCCTTGGAAGGTCCCAGCCCAGAGCAGAGCCTCTCCCCGTGTCTTTAAGCTCTTGCAGGAGAGTCCTGGGTTCCTGAACCATGGTCCAAAACCCGGGAATCACCTGAGCAGGAAGCATGAGCAGCCCCAGAGAGGCCAAGCTGAAGGCAGTGGAGGAGCCTTGGCTGCTCTGGGCCACAGGGGGCTCTGGGGGGGTGCCCTGTCCTGCACCCCCCGCCGTGTGGGGCACAGCCACCCCTAACACTGTAACAAACAAAACGCCGCCAGCCCCAGGCCGGGCCCACGCACTGCAGCGCCCGAGTGGGGAATCGAGGGGATGGCACCTGCCGCAGGGACCGCTCGGAGCAAGAGGAGGAGAGGAAAGGCCACTCGAGACTTGCCTTAGGCAGCTCCAACCTCAGCTCCGAGAGCAGCAGGGAGAGACGGGGCCCCTGGCCGGAGAGGACACGGTGCGAAGAGACGCGGAGAGGAGGCGGCCGAGGGCAGGGCAGGAGTGAGGCCGGTGCCGTGGCTTCCGTTCGCAGCCGACGGGCACGGGGGAAGAGGCTGCCGCCTCGGCCTCCTTCCCTGCGACAGTCCCGATCGGCTCCGCTTAGATCCGGGGCAGCAGCTTCTCGATGAACTCCTTCACTGCCATCATCTCCTGCAGAGACCAGAGTGCCCGTCACGCAGCGGGTCCCCGGCTGTGCCCCCAACCCGGCTCTTCCCAGCACATGGGGCACAAGGGCTGCCCAGCCTCCTCTCGCACGAAGCAGGGGACAAACAGGTCCCTGGATGCAGCAGATGCCCTCCCTGCTCTCGTGCCCTTCCCTGCCCACCCACAGGTGTCATTCCCAAAGGCAGGACCAGCCCAGGGCAGCCCCGTCCCCTCTCGTCTCTCCCAGGCACTGACCTGAGGACAGGAACTGTGCATCACTCCAGGGTAGGTTTTAAACTGGACCTTGGTGGGGGTGACGACCGATTTCAGCTTCTCCGCAGTGAGGGCCCCGAAGCGGACGGGGATCATGGGGTCCATCTCCCCATGACACTGTAGGATGGCGATGTCCTTGTTCATGCTGTTGCTTGCCGCCTGCACGAGAGAGGAAGCGCTGAGAGGTGCCAGGAGAGGGAATTCCCAGCAGGAGACAGGGCAGGTGCTTCCTCCCTGTCCCCATCACCTGGCAGCTCTTCTCGAGATGGGTGTGACAGAGCTGCTGCCCTGCCACCACACACCTCTCTGGAGCCCCAGGCTGGGCCCAGAGCCCCCTGTCCCCACCACCCCTCTCGGTGGCCCCGCGGGGACGATGGCAGCGCCACGTACCTGCGGGAAGGCCTTGTGCAGCGGCAGCCAGCAGCTGAGTGCCACGATGCCGGCCAGCTGGTGCTGGCAGGTGAGCGCCGTGTACAGCGACAAGGCGCCTCCCTGCAGCAGAAACAAGCACGGAGTCTCTCAGCAGCAGGCAGGGTGACCGGTCACCTGGCCACCGCCAGCCCCGGCTCGTCCTGGGACACGAGGTGGAGGCGACAGCGGAGGGGAGAGCCCGGCTCACCTGCGAGAAGCCGCCCAGGATGATGCGGTTGGGCGGGATCCCGTTCTTCACCTCGTGCTCGATGATTGCTTTAACTGGAAGAAGCCAGGGAGATGGGTCAGTGACAGACACTGGGACTGATCAGCATCACCCGAGGACTCACGGACTGAACGCGCTCAGCCTCAGCGAGGAAGGTTGGCTGGGAGCACGGCAGGAAAGAAAGGAGAGGCCGGGGGAAGACACCTCCTCATGCACCACAGAGGGAGAGGAGCCCGGGGCTTCCTTGACCCCAGAGCCTCTTACTGTTTTCTGCAGCTTTCTTGATTCCAGCTTCATCTTCAGGCGCGTCTGGACTCAACCCCATCAGATCAAACCTGGGAGAAGGAGCAAGGTCAACCCCAAAGCTCTGCCAGCCGCCAGGGCRCAGGGAGCTAGGGGTGCTCTGCCCTTCCTGACTCCTCCACAATAGTGGATTTTGGCTCTCCAACCCCCCAAAAGCAGCCAAGGTCCCCCCTGCCTGGGAGGGCACCATGCAGCCCTGAGCACTGACCAGGAGGGCATCACCATCTTCATGTTGAGCGTTACAGGGATCCGGGGCCTGCAGAGAGAAGAGGTTGTTTCAGTCCAAGTGCAAGAGCGGCGAGTGCAGGGTCCAGCCCCAGCCCAGGGCTCTCGGGTGCCTCTGCCGAGGGGACAGTGGCAGGTCAGTGCCTCGGCGCTGGCCGGGGGCTGCGGAGCGACGGCAGCCGCTGCCCGGGCGCGAGCAGGGCGCGCAGGGCTGGGCGCTGGGCTGCACTGCCAGGCAGCCGTTGCAGGGACGTGGGGACGCCGAGGTCCCGGCTGCTGTGGCTGCAGCTCCCCCAGCTCGGTGAGTGCCTCCCGGCACAGCGGGATGCCCGGGCACAGCTCGGGCAGSAGCAATTCCTGCCCTTCCTGCTGCCCGCCTGGCTTGGCCCCCAACCAGGAGGAAGGGGAAGGGCAGGAGCTCTGGAACAGCCGTCACAGAGAGGCTGAGGAGCAGGGCAGGGAGCAAGGGGTCTCAGAGCAGCAGTTCCSACCTGAGGGGCCCTGCAGGCAGAAACGGGGGCGAGGGGCAGGAGGTCTGGCCTCGCTGCCCAGCCTGCACTGCCTCCCAGGGCACCCAGGGCAGTGGGGCCCAGCACAACCACCCGCCCAGGCTCCCCAAGCACCTCGCAGGGCAGGGATGGCACTTACGCGTGAGGGCAAATGTACTTCACGTAGGGGAGGCGGATGGAGGAGAGAGCGTCAGCCCAGCTGTGCCTACGGAAAGAGCAGAAGCAGTTGAACATGGCCTGAGCACTTGGCATGCAGGGGATTCCTGGGGTGAGGCTGGGTCCCCTCCAAGGCTGCTGAGCCCCCTGCACCAGCACCCAGGACAGATCTCCCTACTGTGGGGCAAAAGCAGCACCCAAAGCTGGGGAGTTAGAGGCAGAGCAGCTGCTGTCAGCAAGGGAGGAGAGAGAAGCTCCTCCATGGGGAAGATTCCTTTGTTCCTGCTGCACCTGACACTGCCCTCTAACGTGGCTCTGGGCGTAACGTGGCACACAGAGGCTCTCCCCTGGCACAGCCCTGCTCCCAGGCCAGCAGGAACCGCGGTGCCTCTTTGCTTGCCAAGAGCACAAACCCAGACCCGCGGGCGCTGTCAGTGTCCTAAACACCCAAGCAGAAGCTCACAGAGCTGCTGGCCAGAATCCCTGTCACGGCTCTCACAGCTGAGACCGGCTGAGCCGGCCCCAGAGCTGCCCCACCTGGCTCCCCTGGCTGCAAACAGGGTGCCCGGCAGCCCCACCAGAGCAGGACCCCGCGGCGCCCATGGTGCCCAGCCCACGATACTCACCCCGTGTCTCCAAGCCCATGTAAGAAAATGACCTGTTAAAGGAAGCAGAGAAGCAAGAGAATTAGCTGGTGCRGTGGCAGGGCTGGGCAGGGCTGGGTGCAGGACGCGCCAAAGGCCCCTGAGTCACTAGGAGGGGCCGCGGGCAACGCTGCCCACACCTCCCTGCTCGTGGGCGCGCGGCTGCGACAGGAGAGGCTCCCCCGCGGCGCAGACGGGCTGAGCTCGCCACAGCCCCGCACCCTCTGCAGAAACACCTCTGCAGGCCCCGAACRCCAGGCAGCCCCGGAGGCCGTGCCCGCTGCTCCCGCCCCGCGCCAACAGCAGCCACCGGCCCCAGCCCAGAGGCACCGGTCRCTGTTCCCCGGCAAAAGCAGAGCTCGCGGACCCCGCGCCTCCTTTAAGCTGCACTAAGACTGAAGCGCTAGGGCTGTAGGGGCTCGGCTACAATCCGCAAGAACCAGCCCATCCTCAGCAGTGCTCAAAGGCAGCAGGAGCAGCAGCGGTGCCCCCGGGTGCCCTTACCGCAGCGGTCTCCCGCTCTGCCCCGGAGACGGTCACTGCATCGGCAAGGAGGGGGACAGACATGTTGTTACCACACATACACCGGGAAGGACTCGGACACTGGCACCTGCGGGACAGAGGGAAAAGGTCAGGCAGGAAATAAAGCTCCCTTCCTCCCCAGCAGCAGGATTCCAGCAAGCGGCGCACGAGGGCTCCAACGCTTCAGCCCAGCTCTGCTTCCCGGCTCGGGATGAGTGCGGAAGCGGAGCCGCAAAGTCCCCTTGCTCAGGCCTGTGCCCGGGGAGCTGCTCCCTCATGGCTGCTCCATCTGCAGCGCTCGCAAATGGGGACGGGGGTGGCCAAACGCAACGCAGCGTGGGCCGGGCGCGCGGCGCTCCGGAGCTGGATGCGCCCGGAGCGCGGACTCGCTGGGCCAGGGCTCCCTGCTGCCCCTGGACGCCGCGCACGGGAGGCTGCCGGGCCGGCCCAGCTCCGCACCCGGCAGCAGCGGTGGCAGCAGTGGCCGCGGCGCCTCCCACGTCGCAGCACTGGGGCCACGCGGTGCTGGGATCAGCTCTCGCCGCCGCACTCAACGGCAAGGCCACTGCTGTGGCCACGCGGGCAGGAGGCGGCCGGCGGCCTCCGAGCCGAGGAGCAGCCCGTCCCGCGCCCGGAGCGCGGGGCCCGTCCCGCAGCGCGCGGCACCGGGGCCTGTCGCTGCTCCCACCAAGGGACCAGCCCTTCCTCAGGGGGCACCTGCGGAGACGGCTGGGCAGGATSTGGAGCGCCGAGTCCTGCTCCCAGCAGGGTCCCGGGCACCTGCAGGGCCGCAGGCTCCGCTCCAGCCCCCGTGACGGACACAGTCACAGGCCCCCGAGAGGTGACAGGCGGCGGGGGTTGTCCCCAGCGCAAGGCAGGTCACTAGACCCGCCGTGTCCCACGCGGCAGCCACGACCCCGGTTCCGCCAGCAGCAGATAGGGCCACATGCTTGGAGCACAGGAGCTTTGGGTGTGGAGGGCGCGCAGAGCGCGCGCCGCCGCGGCCGGCAGCGAGCCCCCGGCCCGCACATCCTGCCAGGAGGGACGAGGGGGCAGCAGGGACAGGGAGCCGGGCGGCTCCACGCGGAGGCTCCTGCTCCATGGGGCGCTCGGCAGGGCCCCGGGGTCGGGGCGGCCGGCGCTCAGCCCTCCCTGCCGCCCGCGGCTCCAGCTCCCGCACCCGCGCCAGGACAGGCAGGGAAGGGCGGCCTGGAGCCGGGGCGGCAGCCCGGGTGGCCCGAGGGCGCCGCGGCCGCCCCCACGGGGCTCGGTCTCAGCAGCCCCGCTTGTCTCCCGCGCAGGCGGGACGTCTCCCGCCGTTCCCAGCGGGAAGGCTGGGAGCACGGSAGCGCACGCTGGCAGCCGGCCGCTCCGAAGCCACGCTGGGACCTACAACCCTGGCGAGCGCAGCCGCCCTCGTCTCGCGCTTCCCTCTGTGACTCCCTGGGACGGAGCCGCGCGGGACGCGCCGCCGCCGTTCCGCGTTCCCGGGAAGCGCCGCCCGCGGCTGCTGCGCGGAGGGGCCGGGGGGGCCCCGC